GTTTTGCGAGAAAATTTTTGTTTCCTAATTTGGTAATTTTTGACGAATGCAAGTGAATCAGGAAAGAGTTTTTTTTTATATACATTATATAAATTATAGTTTAGAAAAAATTATTATTTAATATTATTTAACTTTGATAGATTATATTTAAAATTGTTAAACAATATACAAATAATATAAAAATAAAATATTAATATTTGCAATTAAATATTTAATTAAATAACAAGTTTGTTATAAAAGTATAACAATATAATAAAATAAAAGCAATAATCTGTATATAACTTAATTAAATAATTTTTTTATATAATTATATAAGAAAAAATTATTATATCTATATTATACTTTAATTATAAAAATATAAGAGAAAAAAAAATTATATACTGTAAATATATTTGGTGAATATAATAGTATATCAAATTATTTTTAGTTAATTTGATTATAATATCAATAATATTTTTATTAGAATAATTAATACACTTGTTATAAATATAGATAATATTTTAGTAATAACATTTAGAATAATAAATGCAGTTAAATAATTAAAAGTTCTAGAATAAATATTGATAATAAAAATAATAAAAGAAAGGATATGAATTAGTAATATAAAAATTGTTTTTTTTTGTAATCAAATAAGTTTATATTGTTTATTAAATCCTTTTATAGAAGATAAATAATATGTAATACAATAATTATTATATTAAATAAATAAACTATTTTATAGACTTGGACATTTGTTTAGACAATTGTTTTTAAATCGAATTTTAAGATAAATAAGATTGCTTGTTCTTAATTTCTATATAATTTTTTTTTATAAAAATTAATTTAAATTTATTAAAATTAATTTAAATTTATTAAAATAAAACCAGAAAGTTTTAGCTTATAAATTATCACTATTAATAAAATTAAATAAAAAACAATAACTTTGAACAAAAATTCATATATCAATATATATATAGATTTTATTTATATTTATATATTAAGACAATTTTTTTAAAGTAATGTTAAATAATAAATTAATAAACAAAATTTATTTATTTATTATAAAAAAAGTTTTTTATCAATAAACTATCAAATGTAAAAAACTATATGTTATAGCAAAATAATAACTATTAATATAATTAATTCAATATTATAAAAAACTTAGCTTAGTTAATAATATGTTTCTCATAATTCTCAACTCGATATAACCAAATTTTTGAAAAGATATATTAAATATTTTTTTTCTTATATAATTAAAACTGATCATTATAATATTTTTTGATTTTAAATTATTATAAGTAGAAATGTACATATGAAAATAATTTTAATATTACACAATTAATATTTCTTCAATAGTTATTTGGTTTTGCAAAAAACTTCAAATGAAAAATAATGGTAAAATATATAATATATATAGTACTTATAGAAGTGAATGGATAAATAAATGAAAATGTACACATGTACAAGTTTTAATTATTTATGAGATTTGTTATATTATTGAACTTAGTTAAAAATATATAGTAAAAGTAAAATGAACTAGGAGCTGGTTAGTACTGTATTATAAGTATGAAATAATGGAAACCATTGTACAGTAAGTTTAAAGCAAATAACGTCAAATGTTAAATTAAAGCATGCATTACATGACCAGAGATTTCAAAACCTATAGTAGGTCTACGCTACGCTTCAGACAACAAGTTTCACGATAGGAAACAGTATAAAACACAATATAGTATAATAAAAATCAGTAGGTATTTTCATTTTATTTTCTTTTAAGAGAAGGTTACGCAAAATCCGGTTGCTAGCAATAGTACTGTAGCCTGATGATCAAATTTAAAAACTTTAATATCTAAATCTCTATACTTTATCCAAACACAACACCGCAGCTTTTAAAAGCTATTATCATACCGTAATAAAAATTCTAACCAATTTAGATTGGATTACTAATTCTGTATTTTAATATCTATTATATAATTTATTTCTGACGAAAGCAACAAAGAAGGACAGAAAAAAAACAAAAATAAATTCCAATTGTTATCCCGCATGCTATTCTTACTCCCATATCCCCGTAAGCTTGAAGTGGTCCTATTTCCAGATTGCTGAATAGATCAGGTCTAATAAGGCCAATAACCCAAGGTATCATGAAAATAAGGAAACAAAATGCGACAATCATATGCTCTTTCATGATTATGTATTTTTTTTTCTTGTTCTTTGAAACGATTGGGAATCGACAGGCTTTAATAATTGAGAAATCAAAATTTCCTTAAAGGATCATGCTATTTATTCAGAGAAATTTTGTGAAAAAGTGAGTGAGAGTATTTAGATAATTGTTCTCGATACCTTAAGAATTTGTTGACCAAAAAAATACACAGTATATGATACTTACAGTCATCCATCAAATACGGTAATGATAATGTATAATAATGGTAGTAATAAAATAGGCTTAATTTAACATAAAGTTGATAACATTCAAACTTTTTAATGATTCTTTATTGCCTTAATAATAATTTTTCAATCAATCGTTGGCTCAGTGATCCCCTTTATATACAGTAATCTTTTGAAAATTTTTTAGAGCATGTTTATATAAATGCTAATTTTTAACCGATTTGATGCGTTGTAAAATGCCATTGAGTCGTACAATCGTCTACTTAGTCAATTATTGAGAACTTTATTGATAAATATTTCTGCACTTTTGCATATGTTCTATTTTTACTTGTTTTTTCGGTTTATCTAGTTTTATTGTGAGCGTTAAATTGGCATATGATTGACGATGTAACAGAAGTTTCCATGCTGATTTAAGCTTTATTTAGGATGTCGGTGAGATTAACTCCGACTGGATTTCCGATAAAACAAAGTAAAAACTGAAAAAAAAATCAATTTAGGCATTTATTACTCGGCTGTAATTTCTCTTTTGCTTTATTACTTTGTATAAACGGACATTCTTCACATAAAAATATCACTTTCGTTCAGAAACTATAATATAAGAAAATAATAATGGAAATGTGCTTTCTGTGAGCAAATTTGACAATATCTTATGTCTTACGTGGGTATTTCACGTGATATACTGTCTTTATGTCCACGTGTTCTGCATGAGTAGCACTATAGTTCAAATCTTTTTAAGGAGTCTAGATACAATGAAAGCTACTAGGATTGATATAACAGTGACTGCATTGTGACCCAACTTTTATTCCAGCATTGTATTTGTATCGTGAATTAGCCTTAATTTCGTATTTATTGATACATTTACAGTACTGGTAAAAAATGTTTATTTATTGATACATTTACAGTACTGGTAAAAAATGTTTTTTTTTATAATTAAAAATCGTATTATTAAAATAAAAAATTACAACAATAAAATTTATTTCAAACATTTATGAAACTACAAATAATTTTATTTAAAATTTTTATAATTTGTTTCGATTTTTTATTAATATCAAATATCAAGAAGTCTTCATATTTGAAACTTAATTACGTTTCTTAATAAAAAAATGTTGTAAATAGATTCTTTTTAATTTTATAAAATTGGAAATAAAACAAAATTAAAATTTTAATGTTATATTAAAAAAACTTATAAAAGAATTGTTGGTTTGTTTTTTTAATAGAAATTTCCAATAAAAAAATTTATTAAAAAATATTAATTATGGATTTATTTAAAAATATTAAAAACAATTTTTAATCTTATATAAATATTTTAGAATATCAATAATCTTAAATAGTTAAATAAACAATTATTTTTTAAAAAATCTATATATTATTAGCTTATAAAAATTTTTGATTTTCAATAAATCAAAAAATTTTTAGGTTAATGAAAATAACAATGTTATTTATTTCATTATAAACAAGATTTTTTATTCTATAAAAAAAATCAAATTTAATATAAAATTAACTATTAAATTTATATAAAAATTTTAATCAAATCTATAACTTATATCTTATAATTAATTTATCATTTAAAATAATTACAAAATAAAAAATTATTACTATTTTTTTAAAAATTTTTTTATAATTTATTTTGTTTTAATTTATAATCTTATAAGATTAATAAATTTATTTTTGATACTCTTTATTAGAAAAACTTAATAAAATTTTGAATATAATACTTTTTGCATATATGATATTAAAATAAATTAATAAACTGTTGACGTCTCTCCCGGCGAGTCTGTCGCTAACGGCAGTAGAAACTCGCGTAACGTCAGGTAGGTTTTTGGCTT